CCCGCCCCGCCCCTCCCCCCCACCCGGCGGGCCGCGCTCGGCGGAGAGGCGCGCGCAGGAGGGGCGGGGCTAGGAGCGCGGAGCCGCGAGCGCGGATCTCGCGAGAGCAGTGGGGAGCGGAAGCGGCGTTCTTGCAGGATGCGGTTCCTGGTTGCGTTGGTCTTGCTGAGCGTCGCAGTGGCGGGTAAGACCCCCCACCCCCCTCTACTCTGCCCCAGACTCACCATCCTTGCCTTGGTTGGTCGCCATCTAGGCTCGCTTTTTTTCTGTCTGCCCCACCCTTCCTCTCGCCATCACCCCCCAGCCCTGGTTCGCGTTGCCGCTGGGCTCTTCCAGCTTTGTGTAACCCCTTTCCCCACCTGCCTCTCTCCAGAGCTAACTGATTTCTCTATCTCAGGAGCCCTGCCGTCCTCTGGTCAGTCAGCCGCTGAAAATCCGCCCCATGGTTCAGGAAAAGAGAGTCCAGATACCTCTGCAGGAAGAGACCCCAACCAGCTGCCTAAAGGCATAGAAAATTCTGAATCCAAAGGTTCTCCCACTTCCAGTCACAGAAACATCGGCCCGTCGGATATAGGGGACAAAGTGTCCACCAAAGGAGGCTCCGACCAGTCGGATCCAAAGAAGGTGTCTGCCCAAGGAGAGTCCGACCAGTCAGATCCAAAGAAGGCATCTGCCCAAGGAGGCCCCGACCAGTCAGATCCACAGAAGTTGTCTGTCCAAGGAGGCTCTGACCAGTCTGATCCAAAGAAGGGATCTGCCCAAGGAGGCTCCGACCAGTCAGATCCAAAGAAGGCGGCTGTCCAAGAAGGCTCCAACCAGTCAGATCCAAAGGCGGCGGCTACTCAAGGAAGCTCGGACCAGTCAGATCCCAAGACAGCGTCTGCCCAAGGAGGCTCTGACCAGTCAGATCCAACTAAGGCGTCCACCCTAAGGGGAACTGGCCAGTTGGATTCTAAGCAGGCATCTGCCCAAGTAGTCAGGGAGCAGTTGGATCCAAAGGTGTCCACTCAAGGAGGCTCTGGCCAGCCTAGTTCCAGCAAGGCATCATCCCAAGGGGGAGCCAGCCAGTCAGGTCCTAAGCAGCCCCAAGGGGACTCCAGCCAGTCCACTTCAGATAAACTGTCAGCCCAAGAAGGCTCCAGCCCCTCAGGTCCTGAGCAGTCATCTGCACAAGGGGTCGCCCACCAGTCCAGTCCAGACAAGGCATCTGCCCAAGGAGGCTCCAGCAAGTCCAGTCCTGAGAAGGCATCTGACCAAAGACTCTCTGACGAGTCCACGCTGAATAAGGCCTCAGCCCAAGGAGGCTCAGGCCAGCCTGGTGCAGAGAAGACATCCTCCCAAGGAGGTTTCCATCAGACAGGTCAAGAGAAGACTCCCATCCAAGGAGGCTCCGTTCAGTCCAGTCCAGAGAAGATATCCCTGAAAGACCACACCAACAAGCCCATCTCCAACCCCTCCTCTGATAACAGGGAACATTCAAAGACAGACAAAAGCCAGCTAGCTGACAAAGGAGGGATCCCTCCGCCAGCCTCCAGAACTGAATCCTTGGAGAAAGAGGCAGTGGACTCTGACCTCACTTCTCTGCAGCAGGAGGGAGAAGATAAGGAGGAACCTTCAGAGCTTTCCAAGGATGTGGAGCCCAAGGAGACTGAAGAAGGCAATACAGGGCCTGAACAGGACTCACCCCTCAAAGAAGAGAAAGAAAAGATTCCTGGCCTTGCCTCCAGTGAGAACCATGAAGGGACACTTTTGGATTCCATGAGCAATAAGAAGGGTGACCTTTATAAAGACAGTCTTGAAAGTGCCAGCGCAGAGAGCAGCCACTTCTTTGCTTATCTGGTGACCGCAGCCATTCTTGTAGCTGTTCTCTATATTGCCTATCACAACAAGCGGAAGGTAAGTCAAGATTTGCCTCTGGGAGAGGTGTGGCATTTTCTCCACTCGGAAGGGGTGTATGGGCAGGTATCTGTCACAAATCTGCCTATGAGCATTAAGACAAACTTCAGATTGCCTCAGACCCTGAGGCCTGAGGCTCTTCTGTTTTGTAAATCATGTGTCTTCATCATGTCACCTATTTCCCCTGAGTGCCCTTTGCTGCTGCCTTGGGCGTCTAGTTAAGACATTATTCTGACCTGACCTGGAAGGGAATCTCCTCCCCTAACCTTGAACTTAGAGCCTTCACAGCCTCAGAAGACCTGAGGATTTGACAGTTAGAGCCCTTATTTTCCCCTGTTTTCATTTTTAAGACTGTGTTCCAGTATGGGAACTGCTGCCTGATGCTGGGAATGATGTGGGAAGGCTCCAGGTTCCTGTCCTGGGTCCACCCGGACACACTGAGCATGCCCGTGATCTTGGTTGGTTGTGGGAGTGGGGGAGAATTCCAGTGTGAAAACTCTGCCAAAAATCTGTCTCTCTCAAATAAATACACAGGCTATGCAAAAGTTTCTAATGTAGTTTAGCTTTATTCTCTTTAAAACCATTTAAATAGGCCTCTCTCTGGGTATACTGCTGGCTCTTCCGTGGAGGTTCTTAACAGATGTACTACAAGATGACTGCCTTTGATTTCATTAAGAAATTACCTGTTAATTTTTATTTTTCCTCCTCCAGATTATTGCTTTTGTCCTGGAAGGAAAAAGATCCAAAGCCACTAGGAGGCCAAAGGCCAGTGACTACCAGCGTTTGGATATGAAGGTAAGGAGGGAGAAGCCAAGTCCAGAGGAGGGATTTGCAATTTTGGAAGGGCAAAGCAGTGGGCTTGCATTTGACATGGAGCCAGAGCCGATTCTGGGGGTGCTGCTACCATTAACCCTACCCCTTTTCAGACTGTCTACTAGAACCATCCGTATAAATGTACTTATAGTGTAGGAACTAGAAGAAACTTTTGAATAATATCTACAATAGTTCCCTCCCTTGACAGATGAAGAAACAAGTCCACCCAAAAACATTGACCTTTTTTTCCCCTAATTTCCATTATAGGTTGGTGGCAAAATCAGGACACTATAGCGGTTCCCTAGAATCTAGTCCTGAGCCTTTTGCACTCTTCACAAATTTTAATAGGACTTTCACTTTGGGAGTTCTGATGAAAAGCAAAATCTTTTTTTTTTTAAAGGAGAGGTTTTTGCTATAGCGTGCGTGCGCTTACCAGAAAGACAGAGAGAGACAGACAGAAAGCGAGAAATCACCCCCCAGGGGCATGGCCACGCCGCAATCCCTTCTCCTCCATTCTCTCGGGATCTTGGGCAGGCATGCACACGTGCCCAGCGTGAGTTTAAGCCACTGGGTCTGGAACTTGACCCACGGTCAACTACATGGGAGTCCAGCCAAGTGCACGCAGGTCTTCAGTTCCCCAGGTCCCCTGCATTACGCCCTGTGGGCTAGGCCACCTGAGGACAGCCAGCCTGTGTCTTTTCCAGAGAGAGAAGCCCTCCTTCTACCCCATGGCAGCAGGAGCCGAACAAGATTGTCCCCAAAATACCCTAAGTGAGAACAATGTACTCCCACTGCACTGCTGCGTGCATGCATCTCCCTTCCCTCTTCCATTTAACCACAGGGAAGGCACAGTGAAGTGAATTGTTCCCAGACTTGCTGTAGGGAACACAGTTCACTTGTACAGCTCACACTGGCTACAGAACAAGCAGCTCAGTCCAGAACATCTTTGCTATGTAGCTCATTCAGCTTCACAATTTAGCCTGACCTGCTGTCTTCCCTGATCATTGATCTCCATTATAATTTTTTCCTGCTTGAGAAAAATGCACCTGTGGACCAGCAGGTGGCATGGCAGTTAATGTGCTGGATCCCGCATAGCTGACTTCACAGTTCCCGTCCTGGACCTGACAGTTTGAAAAACACGTCATGTCCCCAAAATCCCAAGAGGAGAATGAAAGAGAAGGAATCGTGACGTGGCCCTCCCCCCTGGGGGATAATTTCTCACTTTACCTCTCTCTCCCTATCTCCCTTCAGAGAGCACACACATTCTATAGCAAAAAAAAAGTAATTTAAAACAATACAGTATAATATGAGGTAGAACATAAGAGTCCCATATTTTCTTCATTAAGTGTTTATCTTTCTAACATAGATTTTATTTCAAACTGACATTTAAAACTATTTTGTGTGCTTCTATTTTTATTTTTTTACTTATTTTTAGAAAGATTTTTGCTATTGAGTGCATGCACTCTATTTTTAATAGATGCTGTTGTATGCTTTGTATGGTGGGTTAGTTTTATTCTGAAATTTTCCCCTGAACTGTAGCTCCTCTAAGATTTTTTTTTCCCAAAAAAATTGTAACATTGTAGTATTTCCAGTGGAGATGAATGTTACCAATGGATTGTATTGTTCTCATTTCAGCTCTGATTTTTTTTTTTTTGTCCTTGAGAACCTTGTCCTCCCTGCCATCTGCCGTTTTGATTCTAAATCAAGAGAAATGAAGAGCGAAGTACTGTGATCTAAGAGACGCCCCATCTTTGGGGTCTGGTGGCAAGTCGGGGCAGGCAGAGGCCGTGGGGTGGGGGCTTGCTTTGGTTTTGCACCTGCACTTTGGTGACATCGTACTCCTGTGTTCCCTCATTTATGCTGGCGTCTGCCATCCTTTCCTCCTGAGTGCGAGTGGAGGGAGCATGTGGAAGCAGGGCTGTGACTGGCGGGAGGCGCCAGCTCTGGGCAGCCACGCTGCTCAGCACCCTCCCTCAGGCCTTTGAGTCATGGCCCTGTAGTAAAGATAACCCTTGACCGTGGCATTGCACTGTCTGATGTTCGTCCTCCCAGACCCAGGAGAACACTAGGTAGAGCTGCTTTTCTGCTACGGTCTCTTTGGGGGATGTGCCCTGCAGAAAATGTAGAAGATGGTGAAATGCTGACGGACACAAGCCCGCTTTAAACACTCACTTCTCTTCAAAGACTTCAGCAGCAAACCAACACAGGTTTAAGAGTGCTTTATTGCCTGCACGTCTGACCTGGGTAGCATATGATTTGATTTTGTTTTTAATACTTTATGTTCACTTGAGACGAAGTGAGTCCACTGGATGTAGCAGGCATAAAACTGAACTTGGGCGTTCTGGAAATGAAGCCACTGTTCCCATTATAGCTATGTATGGACAGTCATACATGAAAATGTGGTTATGATGAACAAAACAGCGGCTTCTTTCACACAGGCATCCTCAGTAGGAACTTTCTGAAATAGGGCAAGTTCACGCTTTATGCAAGAAAATATGCTGGAAGGTTTTGGGTTTGGTCTGCATTTTGTTCGAAGGGCTTTGATGAAATAGGCTTCCCACAGACTCGTGTTTTGCCTTTGTTGCCTGAAATAGACAGTTCATATTTAGAACCTAACTGTACTCTGTTCATTTTACCTTACTCTACTGAATGGCCCTCTCCTCTGATAATAAGATGCCAAGGCTAATTAGTAAAAATTCTTTTATCCTATGTCAGAAACAGCTAGAATTTCAGAATTCATTGGGTTCCCCTGGGATGACTGAGAGTAATGTCTTGAATCACATTATTTCATTATTTAAAGTTTTACCTAGAACTGGGGGCCGGAAGGTGGTGTGGTGATTAGGGTGTTAGAGTCCCACACGTTCGGCCCTGGACCCAGCAGCTTGAAAATCACACCAAATGCGCATGTGTGCACCTGCGTGTCCAAAATCACGAGAGGAGACTGTCAGGGGAGGGATTGCGGCCCGGGGTGATTCTGGCAAGCACACATGCTCTATAGCCAAAACCAGGGAGGGGGGCTTTACTTAAAACTGTTCCAGTCCTGGTACCCTAATACCAAGGGCCTAAAGAGGTTTGTTTCCAAGCTAATCTCAGGGAAAGACAATGTGGGAGGTTAGAGAAATGTGATGAATTCTGTGCTGTTGAGGAAGGAAGTCTGAAGGGACCATCCTCTTTGACACTTTAAACAGCCCATGGCTTTGAGTTGAAACTGTCCCTGTTGGCAAGTAGCATACTTTATGGAGATAAGGACCGAGTGTCTACTCTGCTTGGCGTCATTCTCTACTTGTACAGCATGCTTATGACATTTTAGAACCCTCTGTCCCCCTCTCCCCCTACTGTCTTCTGTTTGTGTCTGTCTGCACTGGCACCTTTTTTTCGCCTTCACACGTGACCAGGTTTCCCTGCTCCCATCTGTCCTCTCCTACGTGTCTTCATCCCACTCCTCGGTTCTCCAGGAGTGCTGCTCCCGTTACCTCAGCACTCAGCTTCTTCCTGACTCTGACGGACTCACCTGGATCGCTCACTTCTGTCTTTTCCAAGGACTGCCAAACCCAGTGGCCTGTCCTCAAAGCTTGGTCTTCTTGGTAGACTTGGATACCGTTGGCCATCCACACTGAAAGCGCCTTTCTTGGCATCTCTGACAGACTTGGCTTTTGCTTTGTCGGATGCGGGGGGCAGGGGGAGTTGAAAGCCAGCTCTCTCCACTCCCTTGACCCTCCTCACAAATTCATCGTTTCTTCATCCTCCAAGTGACTCTGGACTTTATCCTCAGCCTTAGTTCACAGAGACCAGTTCTGCGTGCCGACCATTTAGCTTGGTTGTCCTGTCGTCACTAAAACTGAACTGAACTTCTCATCAAGCTGCCCCTCTCAAATGCCCACTGTCCTTAATCCAAACTAGACTTTCCCTTTTTCTATCTTGTCACAAAAAGTCTGTCCATTTCTTTTTATTTAATGTAGCCCCATCTTCCTTCCCATTTTCCTTGCTCCCTTTGTCCCATACCATACCTTTACCCATTCCACACTTCTGTCCTAGATATTTTTCAGGAGCCACCTTAATTGGTTCTGCCCATCTTCTTGGGAAGGTCATTGTTCCCGAGATACTTGCCCTGGGCTGAAGCTTCTGTCCGTACTTGTCATGGCGTAGTGAACCTAGCTGTAGACGCCCTGGTACTCGACTCTGCAGACTGATTCCTTCCTGCCTTTCTCCGCAGCCCACCAGGCCAGAGCCTCCTCTCGGCATGTGCCCGTCTGTGCCATTGTTCTTGGTGTGTCCTCTGTGTCCTGGCTCCCCAGTGGTTCTTCGGTTAGATTTTTCTTCCTTCTTTCTCTCGCCTTCCCCAGATCTACCTGTTTCTTTGGGATTCTGTTATGTCTTCCCTTGTACCTTCCTAGCTCTCCCACTCCATGGTTGGCTCCTTGCATTCTTCTACCCTACTAGTTTCTAATAATGCCACTCACTCGTCTTGGAACTTCCAACACCACAAGGCAGGGAGCGTCTGACGTCTCTCTGGTCCCATTAAAAAACCAACCAACCAAACAAAAACCCTAAGCTCTTGAGGGACCCCCTGGTGACATCTTCCTTCCTGCCTGGCATAGTGACACTCCTTCAGGCCCTAGGAATTCAGGTACTCCTGGCAGAGGGGATGCTTGCTTGCTTCTCCACGGTGGGTTGTGACCCAGGAGGGCTCACAGCTCTTTCTGGTACTGGTTGCTGTGATCTTATCTCGTTGGGTTTATGCTAAAGAAAAGAACAGGAAGAAAGGTTGGCTTCAGGAACCCAGCGGGTGGGCAGTGAGTGGGCACCTAAGTGTGGAATCCACTTAACTCAACTTTTTGAGGTTCCTTTTTATTTTTTTTTTTTAACTTTTTGAGTTTCTGAGAAATACCATTTCTCATGCTGAAAGAAAGTGAGAGACTATATTTAGAAATTACACTGAAGGAATATTATTTCCTGGATGGATTTCTTTTCAAAGATAGAATATCAGAAGCATGCTTCCCTGGAGATTGAGTGGATGCAGGTGAGCTGGCCGAGGGGGCCATGCAGGAAGCACACAAGAAGCCACAGAGGCTGAGCAGACAGCTGTGGCTTCCTTTTGCCCCAGCTTTTGGGTTCTGATTTCTGTCAGGAGGAACCTGTGCTCAGTCACGGATGTTAATAGAGGAACTTGTTTGCCTGCCACAGATGACCGAGTAGAATTATTGAGAGACCACTTCCGGATTCCAGGGGAGTCTGAGGCCGTTCTCTCTAGAAAGGCTACAACCCAGAAAGACCTGACAGCAGCCGTGTATACTGACATTTTTCCCGCGTGACGGCTTTTAAGGAAACATTCGGCGATAGACTTCTAAACCTCTACAATTCCCCAGGCAGCGATGCCCACCTCCGCCTCCAGGCCTTGTTTTTCCAAGGCGATGATGCCTGTGTGGTGGAAGCCGGAGCACCCTGACCTGGCTGGAACCACTCACACAGGGGAGGCGGGTGGGCTGTGCCCCAGACCTGTAGCTTACCTCAGGCCCTTTTATGAAAACCCTTGCTGGGAAGGTTTTAGGCTTTGCCTCCCCTGAGTTAGACGCAAACCCTTGCTGGGAAGGTTTTAGGCTTTGCTTTCCCTGAGTTAGAATCCCAGAAGAGACTTTCAGGTTTAATTAACTATACATCCAGAGTCAGGAGTGATTCAGCTCAGCAAGTCTCTCAAGTTAGATGTGAATTTCCTAAAAAAAAAAAATCCCAGTTTAAGAACTCCCATCTGTAAAGAGTTGGGATCTGAGCTGTCTAGCATGTCAAACTGCCAACAAAGCCAGCCCCATCACACTCTCATAGATATTTCTTTAATTCATAAGATTTCCATGTCAAATAAGTAATCAATTGTTGAAATTGTTTCCCTTTGTTTTTGTAATTAGTAGATTGCCACTGCCCTGTGATGTTTTATATTTTCAGCTTTTTGTAACTTAACTATAATTACTTAATTTTATTTTTTTAAAGCTTATTGTGGTCTAATGATGAGTATTTTTAAATACATGCTGTTTTACTGAGCTTCTGTAAATGCCATCTCTATACAGTTTGTGTAACTGAACAGAAACCAAAATAAATTTCAAATACTAAAGCAACAGGTCATTATTTTTTTTAAAGAATTATTTAACTTTGTTTATTTTAATTTGACCAGAGAGAGAGAAAGCAAGCCACCAGGTCTGAGACTCGAACTGTAGTCGGCCATGTGAGAGCCCAGCACCCTTAACCACCATGCCACCTGCTGGCCCCAACTTTTTTTTTTTTTTGAAGAATTATTCATTTAATTTTGTTTATTATTATTCAGTTTGATCAGAGAGAGAGAAAAGCAAGCTGCCAGGTCTGAGACTTGAACCAGAGTTGACCATGTGGGAGTCCGGCACTTGAACCACCAGGCCACTGTGCCGGGCCCCAAGTTTATTAATATTACCTTTACACACACCAAAGTAAGGCCCTTAGTTTTTCTGTTTAACATGAGTGAATGGTCATGTTTTTGAACCTGTGGCTTTTACCCACCTTCCCACCCAGCAGCAGTCAGATGTACCAAACGCCGATCCACCGTGTCTACATCTGCACAGCTCACGTTCTGTGTTCTGATTCTGACTGACTGCGCCACCCCACCCCACCCCGCTCCCTGCCCTGCAGCTGTGTCCCGTCTAGGACGTGGGGCTGTAGTTATGGTACCTGGTGCTGCCTTGGTGCTGTTCCCGGCCGTGCACTTGGCCTGGAATGCGCCCTCAGTCCGCTTCAACCCTGCTCTAGACCTCTCACCACTCAGTGTCCTGGCAGCCTGCACCCCACTTCCCTGTGTACGTCAGAGGGCCTGAGGCTCAGGTGCTGGCACAGACAGATGCCATCCTGGCCATAAGGAAGACGGGCCTAGGGTTCAGTGGCATACAGATCAGATCCCAGCTTCAGACACACACCCTTCACGCTGACAGCCCATCACAGGGATTTGCTCTCCTCTGAAAAGAGCAATCGGAACCTGCTAGAATGGACCTGGAGCACTCAGACTATGGAACTACAACCCACGTCATGCCCAGGTTTTTAGTAAAATCTCACTGGTCAGCCTTTGCCCTACATGGTGTAGAACACTCTGCAGGGCGGCACTGAGTGAGCGGGAGAAGCCTCAGGACAGAACCGGGCCCATGAGCTTTGGCCACCCAGCACCTGCAGGGACTCTCCACCTGGCCAGTCAGGAAGTAGGGATGCCGAGCACCGCTTACTGGGAGAGACCAAGGATACCCAGATCCATGGCCCAGACTGAGCCTGATGGAGGGAACAGTTTTTTGTCAGGAAGTAGGGATGCCGAGCACCGCTTACTGGGAGAGACCAAGGATACCCAGATCCATGGCCCAGACAGCCTGATGGAGGGAACAGTTTTTTTGTTTGTTTGTTTGTTTGTTTGTTTGCTATAGGGCATATGATCGACAGGCAGAGAGACAGAAACAAAGAAATCACTCCCCTGGGGGATGACCATGCTTCAAATCTCCTCTCCTTTATCATCCTCTCTGGAGTTTGGGCACACACATACATGTGCCCAGCGTTTCAAGCCACTGGGTCTGGAATTCAAACCATGGCGACCACATGGGAGTCCAGCACCCTAACCACTACGCCAGGAAGTGTTACACAGGGATACAAGAGCACTTGCCCCAGCTGAAGGGCCTCTGTGTCAGACTGATTTGTACTAGGCCTCTTCAGAAACCAGAAACAAGCTAGAGTGCTCTACATATGCAAGGAACTGATGCAGAAAGACATTATGGGTAATCCAGGGAGGTACCCCAGCTGGTGGCCAAAATCCTCTGGCTCATCCTGAACAAACTAATCCTTCTTCTTCTGTGCCCGGACCCTAGAGCCAAGATTCTTCAGGTCTAAGTACAGGTTCCGCTCCAGGATGGCGCTGCTGCACAACAGGGCCCCTTGCAGGGCCCCCATCAACCCACAGGTGAAGACGTCCTGACCTGAGAGGCAAGAAGAGGCCCATGAGCATCCCTCAGGTCGGGGACAGGAGGGCAGGGACTCTCACGTTCACTCCCCCATGCAAGAGCCACCTAGAGATGGCTTCACATCAGGTCCAGCTAAGCGAGGCAAAGGAAGGAGGCTGGTTTTTTGGTGGCATCTACCCTACACCTTAGAGACAGTTACAGCTGCCAGCCCACCCTCCCCACAAAGAAACCCAGAACCTCACTTGTCTAGTGGGCCACCCATGCTGCCCACTCTCCCTGGCTCAAGATGTGGGAGGCTACAGGGGACAGCAGGGCCTGAGGACTTGGGGTAACAACAAAGCTCAGGGACTGAGGTCCTGCCAAAATGGGGCAGTCAGTGTACCTGTGAGGTAGAGGTTGGGGATGGGGCTCTGGGCCCTCACAGAGGCCATCACCAGAGGATGCAGGCGGCTCAGGTCATGGTCAGCCCCATAGCAGGCACCCTGGGGAGCAGCCAGGTAGAACTGGTTGGTCAGTGGGGTTCCTCCAGTCACACTCTCCACCTGAGGAGGCAGAATGGCAGCCCGAGGGCAAGAGTGGAGCCTGTGAGGGCCGTCTCCTCCAGTCGGCTGGATGAGCTCTGTCCCTCCCTGGGGCTCCATACTAAGGACAGGGCGGAGTGGCACGAAGAGGTCTGTCACCACCCCTGCCCTCTCCCTACCTTCCCCTCCAGCTGTGGGAACAGTTTCCTGACTTCTGCAACCACAGCTTCCACAAAGGAGTTCTTGAAGGCCTCGTAGTCACTGCCTCGCTTCCCCTGCGGCTCCTCCTGCCACTCCTTGAACCACTCGTAGGCAGTGGGGATGAGTGCGATCAGCGAGGACCGACCTGGTGTGCAGAGGGGCATCACTGCTAACAGCCTCTCCCTGCCTCTCCCAACCCTTGCCCCACTCCCAGCGTGCCACTGGCCCCGAAAGCCACACCTGGGAATCTGTCCTCCCAGGCTGGGTCCTTGGCTGACGGGGAGGAAACGAAGACAAGCGGGATGTGTTCTGCAGCCTTTTCCCGGGGCATAGAGAGGTAGCGCGCCATCCTGTGGGCAGAGCACCGCTGCAGAGCCCCAGGGCTGAAGCTGGGCAGAGCCCCTCCCACCGCCTCCACTGCACATCCTGCCGCTGTTCCCCAGCATCCGGGAGGAAGCAGGGCCCTTGGGTGCTGAGACGCTGGGACACCAGGACACCCCCCAGCACACACGTGGGCACGCATGCCTTACGCCTTGTCCACGTCTGTGTCATAATAAACGAAGTAGTTGGTGGACGGCAGACCCAAGTCATCCTTGGTGCCTCGCAGGCAGATGAAGACAGAGAACATGGCTGAGCTGGGCCGCACCATCCCCAGCTGTTGCTTCACACCTGCCAAGGGAGGTGGTGAGGGCTGCAGGGACAGTGGCCAGAGATGGCCACTCCCACTCTCTCGGGGCCAAGTCAGGGCTGGTGCCATTAGACTGCTTTCAGAGAGGGCCATAGCTGGACTTAAGGGGAGGGTAAGCAGAAGAGGTGATGGCGGCTGCCTGGACAGACAGCAGGCCAGGGACGACACTGGGGCCTGCCAGAGGACAGCATGAGAGCCCAGGGCCCTGGGAGAGAGAAGAGGCGGGAAGTACTAAAAGCCACACCTGTGTGTGCATCGTGCCCACCCAACTGCCCTGCTGCTGGGGACTCCGCTGTGCCCCACAGGGCTCACGGAGCCAGAGACAGGAGGCCTCAGCTGGCAGGTTCTGGCCAAGGCCCAGCTAGGCGAGGAAAAGGACAGGCTGGGCTTTGGTAGCACCTATCCCATACCTCAGATGGTTACAGCTGCCAGCCCAGACCTCCCCATAAGGAACCTGACTCACTTTTCTATGGCACCTGCCCTACTGCCCACCTTCCCCAGCTCCTCAGGGAGCAGCCCCCGGGGCTCACCCCTGGGTACAGCGTTCCTACCCCACTGGCTCTGGGCTCAGCACAAGGTCATGGTTTCCAACCATGTCTTAAGCCTCTCCCATCTACGCACCCTTCTCACCCTGACTGGGTTACGGGTCCCCTCCAGCCAGTCAGCTTCCTGTCCTCAGATCCTCAGGTCACACCACTAGTGGCAAGTCACATGATATCCTGAAGTAATTTCTCACCTAACACCTAACGCTGGCTTGGCTACTTTGTCGCTATGGGTTGACCCGGCCTCCTGAGCCTTTTAGTGACACATCACTCTGGGAGCTGTACCCTTCTCAGCACAGAGGTGTGCAAAGAGCCAGACCAGGGGTCCCATCTCGGCTCTGCCACTTTCAACTGGATAGCCTCGGGAGGTCACTTCCCCAGGATGGGCCTCAGTTTCCCCAACCATAAGTGTTAGGAGGTAGGATGATGATGTCAGAAACCAGTGTTCTTTTTCATCTTTCTGCTCAAGGATGGTCAGAGGGGAAGCTAAGAGGGGAAGCACCTGCCAGGCTGAGCAAGTTGGGGAATGTTGGAGAGCTCAGAAGAGGGGCAATGCAGACCAGCCTTTACCTGGTAGGCAGCGAGCACACTCGGGCAGTAAGCGCTCATAAGTGTTGAACAGGCCTGCGCTGGAGATGACGATGGGGCAGTATATGTTCACCAGCTCTTGGCCCTTCTTCACACTGACACCTGCAGGCACAAGAGCATGGCTGAGGTTCAGAGCTCTGGGAAGGGGAAAACGGCTCATGTGCTTTACGGGTCTCTCCAAGCATATGCCTCATTTTTTCTTTTCTTTTTCTTGTTTGAGTGATTTTTGCTATAGGGCACATGTACTTGCCGGAGAGACAAAGAGACAGAAAATGAGAAATCACCAGCAGGGAGAGATGGCCATGCTGCAATCCCTTCTCTTCCATTCTCCTCTCAGGATTCTGGGCATGCACGCACACACACCCAGCATGAGTTTCAAGCTGCCAGGTCTGGGTCTTGAACTGTGGTGGGCCATGTGGGAGTCCAACACCTTGACCACTACACCACCTGTTGGCCCCATATATATGCCCAATTTCCTAGGGCAGGCAGGTCAGGCCCCCAGCAAGCAACTGGGTGTAGCATCCTCACACACCCTCAGGCTATCCCCAGTGGATTCTGCATTTCCCTTCCCTAGGTCCTCCTATCTACCCCAGATGGACCTTTTTTTAAAAAAAGGAGCACATGGGCTCATGGGAGAGACACAGAAAGGAAAAGGAGAAAGCACTCCCCAGTGGAGTGCGGTCAAGCTGCAATCCTTTTTCCTGCATTTCTCCATCCTTTGCATTTTAATTTGACCAGAGAAGGACAGAGTGAGAGAGGGAGGGGAAGCGAGAAGCCAAGCTACCAGGTCCGGGACTCAAACCAGGGTTGGCCATGCACCCTTAACCACCATGCTACCTGCCGGCCCCAAAAATGGCAGTTTCCTATGGCTCCACCTAATACTTTCAGACTGAACACACTCAGTTCTTTTGTGCCTCCAGGTCTTTGCACGTGCTGTCCCTCTTTCCTGGAATAACCTCCTCTGACTTCATCTGTTCGCCTCCTTCTCCTCGCCCTCCAGGAACTGGTTCAAACACCTCAGTCTCTGGGAGGCCCTCCCTGTTCCACGGTGCTTTGTCACCTCCATCCTGAGTATATGCCTCTAGGCAGTTAAACTTTAAAAATGTTTTATTTATTGCTCTCATGAGGGTGAGAATCAATGAAAGAGAAACACACAGGGTCTCATGCCATGATCTCCCCCCAGCCCTCTGAGCCAGCCAGAAACACGGGTACACGCACACCCGCTATGTACAGGTCGACCAGGAAACCGAGCGACCTTCCATATGGTTCTTCCAGAAGGATCCTGCTTCCCCTGAGCAGTGTGTTACACTGAGCCAGCCCCGGCACATAAATTATTTTGTAACAATCTTTCCTATAATATTAGAAACCTTATTTTTTTCCTTAAAGAATCTTTTTTATTTTATTTTATTTATTATTATTATTATTTAATTTGACCAGAGAATGAGGTAAAGTGAGAAAGCAAGCCACCAGGTCTAGGACTAGAACCATGGCTGGCCATGTGGGAGTCCAGCACCTTCACCACCACACCACCTGCTGGCCTATAGAAACTTCTTAAGATAAAGATAGGGATTTATTTATCTTTTATCACCTAGCACATCAAAGCTGAATAAATGTATTCTGAATTGAATTTTTGTTTTTGTTTTTTGCTATAAGGGCGTATACGCTTGCTGGAGACTAAAAGAGAGAAAGGAGGGGGGAGAGGCTATACCACAACCCCTTCTCCTCTATTCTCCTCTCAGGACTCTGGGCACACATATGTATACACCCAGCAAGATTTTCAAGCTGCTGGGTTCAGAACTCGAACTATCGAGTCGGCCATGTGGGATCCAGCCACTGTAACCTCCATGCCACCTGCTGGCCCTTAAATTAAATTTAATTGAGCTGATAAACTCACCATGTTGCATGGACCCTCAAAGAAAAGCTGGAAGGAAAATGTGTTCATGGACATCAGAGAAACTTACATGACTGCCATCTCTTTCTGATCACCCAACATCTCAGTCCCTTCTACAAATAGATTCTCTGAGATCAACTGGTGACTTTCTCTTCTGGATTTTTTTTTTCTTTTTTTTTTTTAATGCACTGGGCAATCCACTCACCACTTCCTCCTCTTTGAAATGTTCCTCTGACAAATTCCTGTCCGCACCAGCTCCATTTTCAGGCCTCTTCCCTGAGGCTTCTCTAAGCACCCCGCTAGTGAGAGATGGCCTGTTCTGTTTCACAGAGCCCTGCGAGACCCTCTCCTTAGAGTTCATTCACCATGGGCTTTTGATTCTATGCAGGTAACACCAATAACCGGAGCCAGGATAATGATGTTCCAGGTTCCAATCTGCCATTTACAGATTGAGGTAGGGCCACTTTACGGGGCTCACACTGCACTACAGAATGCCCAGGGTGTTCATTCATTCCATCAAGCACTGACAAATATGTAGTGGGCCTCTCTTATGGGCTAAGATCTACAGACATAAAGATAAAAAGGCATAGACCCTACATTCAAGAAGATTGAATTATGGATAAATACTTACCTCCCCTAAATAAATGACTGAATACTGTTCTCTGAAGCCCACGTAATTCTCTATCCTTCTTGCTTCCTTTTTACCTCCAGACTCATCGCTATCCTTGGGCTTCTGCTCTGGGGCAGACTCTACTATTAATCCCCCAATAAGGGTGTTGGTTCTTCTACCTCCGTTGCCCTTAGAAAGATCTGGCCTCACCCCGCCCAGCTTAGCCCTGCCCAGGGTCCCGAAGTATGAGCAAGGCTCTCACCACAGGCTCTGCCGGCTGAGTCCAGCAACACACTCTGCACAGCGGCTCTCGTAAGGACAGCACCTCCAGCCCGCTGGATCACAGGGATGGTGTGGAAGGCAATTTCACTGGAACCTCCACGAGGATAAAAGGCCCCTTTCATGTAGTGGTTAACCAGCAGAGCGTGCATGGAAAAGGTGCTATGACTGGGGGTCACTCCTAGAGGGGGAGAGAGGGGAAGTGAGCAGGCAGGAGCAGACACCCAGCACCACTCAGAAAGGAAACGGATTCGTGCAAGGTAAACATGCACTCCGAGTCCCCGTCACAGCCAAATGGCCCAAGGTCCAGGGCAGTCAGAGGAGCTGACTGCGGTACCTTGCAGATCTTGGGACCAATGGGACTATCCCTTACAAACTGCCATGCAGCTGAGACCAGGGAGGAGAATGATGGTTCAAGAGAAAAATCATATAGGCCATGCATGAAGGGAATTTCTACCAGAAGTCCAGCAGCTGGACAGGCCTCTCATCCACAAGCTCCAGAGGGCCTGGGGTTTGTACCACTCCATTTCCATCAGCCTGGTAGGCTTGGGAAGAGAGACTGAGAGCGGGGACGGCAGCCCTTCTTCCTCCAGAAGCCATCTAGAGCCCGTGGCCAGGACCCACCGTATGTGGGGAAGATGTAGCTGAGCACCGCCTGCAGCTCAGGGGAGGCCCCCAGCTGCTGCAGGACCTCAGCCAGGCTCTGGGTGGATGCGCGGAGGAATGGAGAGAATCGAGTCAGCAGTCCACACTTGTTGAGGAGCTGAGCCACGAGCAATGGAAAGTACTTCAGCAAGATGGCATGTGTAGCTCCACTGGCTACCACCTGGGAAAGAAAGCAGGCCATGAGGGCCAGCATGTGGCATGATAATTAAGGCAGCTGGATCCGACATGGCTGACTGCACGGTTTGAGTCCCAGACCTAACAGCTTAAAAAAACGCGCTGGGCACGTGTGCATATTTGCCTGAGACGACATTATGGCATGCCCATGCCCACCCCCTTGGGGAGGGGGTGTTTTCTCACTTTCCTTCTCTCTCACTCTCTCTCTTTTTCTCTGTCTCAGTCCATCTCTGGTGAGCACATGAGCCCCAAAACAAAAGCAAAAATAGATGAAAGCAAGCAAACAAGCAAGCAAGCCAACCAGGAACAACGGCTCACCTCTAGAACACTGGGACAGTATCACCTCCTAACAGCCTGCACTAGCCCAGGGGCCTGGCTGATCTTTGATAAGTTTGGATTTTTTTTTTTTTAGATAGTTTTTTGTTGTTGTTATAGGGTATGTGTGCTCACTAGAGAGACAGAGAGACAGAAAGCGAGCAATCACCCCTGCAGGGGGGATGGCCATGCTGCAATCCCTTCTCCTCTTGGGATTTTGGGCACACATGCACACATGCATGAGGTTTAAGCCAATGGGTCCAGAACTTGAACTACGGTCGATTACATGGGAGTCCAATGATGTAACCATTATGCCATCTGCTGGTCCCTAAATTTGGATTTTTAAAATATCTGTACTCTATGTATTTTTTCCATCTAATACTCAGATGAGTCTTTTTTTTTTTTTAATGCTTTTTAGCTTCTTGGCAAAATTCCTTTTCAAAAATCCCAACCTGGAAGCCAGACAGTGGAGCAAAGGTAAGACATGACATCCCAGGGACCAGTAGTTAGCGTAATGGCTATGTCGCTGGACTCCCATATAGTCGACCGTGGTTCGAGTCCCGGACCCGGTGGCTTAAAACTCACACCGGGCGCATGTGTGTGTGTGCCCAAGATCCCGAGAGGAGAATGGAGGAGAAGGGATTGCGACATGGCCACCCCCCCTGGGGGGTGATTTCTCACTTTCTGTCTCTCTGTCTCTGTCTGTCTGTCTGGCGAGCGCACGTGCCCTATAGCAAAAAGCTCTCAAAAAAAAAAAAAAAGACATGACATCCCACATGGCTGACCCACATGGAAAGGTCTGGGGTGGCATATGGAGACCTCCCTGAGTACCCACATTGGTGTGTCTCCATGACCAGGGGCTGGCTAAAGCTGGGGTGGACTGAGACATCAAGATCCTATTGGGGGTGCTCCTCTCCTTTCTCACTCATGGAAGAGGGAAAGAAACTTTTTTAAAAATCCCAATTGGGGGACCAGCAGTTGGCATAATGGCTATGTCGCTGGACTCTCATGTAGTCAACCGCAGTTCGAGTCTCAGACCCAGTGGCTTAAACTCACGCCGGGTACGTGTGCGTGCGTGCCCAAGATCCCGACAGGAGAAAGGAGGAGAAGGGATTGTGGTGTGGCCATCCCCCCTGGGGGGGGGGGATTTCTTACTTTATGTCTCTCTGTCTCTGTCTTCCTGGTGAACACATGTGCCCTATAGCAAAAACCTCTCCAAAAAAAATCCCAATCGGGTTTCAGGCAAAGTAAAGGGAGTAGTGATCTGATCACCTGGAAGCCAACTTAGTCAGGGAGGCGAGCAGGGCGCCCCCAGAGGCCAGAGCGAAAGTAGCAGCCATGAGAGAGAGGAGCCGGAGAGAGCAGAGATAGATTTCACCCGGGGTTGAGTTCAGGACAGACATGACTCTTCCTCTCTTCCCGCTCCCCAACCCCTCCTCCCCCCTGACACCAGTCAACCCCGCTCCCACCCCCCCCCAGTCACTGCACTAATGAGGAAGGTCAGCCTTGTCAGGAGTAAGCGGGATCCCCACCATGCCCATGTACCTTCACCAGCTTCATATACTTGTCGATGACAACCTCTTCCTGGGGAAACTTCTCCTTGAGGCCCCGAATGTAGGCTTCCTTCCCACTGTACATGGGGAACTCCTTTCGGCCATTGGGCCCTTCTAGTACCACAATGTCAAATGGAGAGGACAGAGTAGCCCAGTCCAGCTGACCCTCAGTGATCTGGTCCAAGATAAGGCGGCCAATGCTGCCCTCATTCACGCGCCCAATATAATGGATTCCTGTGGGGAGATGGAAAACAAGGCGTTGGGTAGACAAGGGCATGGAGCCCTGGAAAAGCAGACGAGGAAGGAGGCTGCCCAGTCTGGCCAAGCCCATGCCCAGAGGGGCAGCACAGCCTTTCTGTAGGAAGGTGTCTCAACAGAAATACCAGACCCTGCCCAGTTCAACACCCAGTAGGTCTGGCTGTCAGACAGGAAGGGGTGCCCAGAGAAATGATGGACCTCCAATATCATTCTACAACATCTGCTCTGAGTCTCTTGGAAATAGAGCTTGCTCCCAACCCCTTTTCTGCCCAAGCCTTACCTGTGTCAAATTCAAGGCCGTTCTTCCCAAAGGTATGACAACAGCCCCCAGCCTTGGTATGCTGTTCCAGCACCAGGACCCGCTTGCCAACTTTGGCCAGAATAGCAGCTGCAGCCAGGCCCCCAATGCCACTGCCGATCACCACCACGTCCGGCTTCTCTGGCACTAGGCTGGCTGAGAAAGCTGTAACAGAAGGGAGGAAGACGAGGCTGAGCTTCTCAGGCAGAGGCAGAGAAATGGCTAAGATAGGGAAACTAAGGCTGCTTCCATAGCTCAGTGGTTAAGGATGCCAGATCCCAGTGGCTGAGCACAGTTCAAACCCTAGCCCAGATGGCTAGGGCAGGTTATGTGCCCACCCCAAATCCTGACAGGATAGTGAAACGGAGGGGAAGGGACTGTGCAGTGACCACACTCCACTGAGGGGTACTTTCTCCTTCTCCCTCTCTCTCTCTCTGGTGAGTGCACACAAGTCCTGCCAATTAAAAAAAAGTTGGGCCCAGCAGATGACATAGCAGTTACATCACTGGACTCCCACATGGCTGACTGAGGTTCGAGTCCCAGACCTGGTGGCTTGAAAACTATGCCAGGTGTGTGTGTGCGTGCGTGCCCAAGATCCCAGGAGGAGAATGGAAGAGAAGGGATTACGCCGTGGGCATCCTCCTGGGGGGTGTGATTTCTCACTTGCCCTCTCATTGTCTCTGTCTCTCTCTCTCTCCCTGGCGAGTGCACACATCCTAAGAGAAAAACCTCTGGGAAAAAAAAGTTACCAGGAAAAAATTTTGGAAACCAAATAATACTTTGCTAGTTTGTGAAGTTTAAGAAGTCTAGAGTAGTTTGGAACAGAGCTCTCGAGTCAAATGTCTCAAACATTTGACCTGGGAAATATTCAGGATGAGCCAGGCAGATTAAACAAAATTTAATCTGGTTTGGGACCAGCAGTTAGTGTCATGGCTATGTTGCTGGACTCCCATTGTAGTCGACCGCGGTTCGAGTCCCTGACCCGGTGGCTTAAACTCATGTCAGGCGTGTGTGCATGTGTGCCCAAGATCCCGAGAGGAGAATGGAGAAAGGATTGCGGCGTGGCCATCCCCCCTGGTGGGGGGTGATTTCTCACTTTCTGTCTGTCTCTCTCTGTCTTCCTGGCGAGTGCACATGCCCTATAGCAAAAACCTCTCCAAAAAAAAATAATAATAATAATAAAAAAATTTAATCTGGTTTGAGCTGAACTTATTTAAGCTATTGTGTACCTGGGGATTTTCTTTACTTTCAGAGAAAGTAGGAATCAGCGAATCAGTACTGGCACAAAACCGGAGAGCTGAGAAGCCTAAGGGCAGACACAGATCACATGCTAGGGAAGAAAGAAAACACGTGGTGGGAGGCGGGGAAGATCGTCAGGGGGCAGGCTGCCAGCTCACGGGACCACCCAGTCACAAGCCAGGTTTCTTTGAAAGATGCAGGATCTGCAAGTGTCAGTGGAACAGCTCGGTTCCAGATTCTGATGCTAGTTCTTAGGTAGGACAGAGAAGCCACAGGCTCCGCTTTGAGAAATCACAAGACTGCTCCCTCACAGCAGGGAGAGCTACAGGCAGGGCTGTCTGGGCCTTAGTAGGGGCACCTCAAAAGAAGACAAAACTGGACAGCACTTGGTGTTGTATGGACGCTTGCAACACAAGGTCTGTTCTTCAAAAATCACTGTCAAGGGGCCAGAGGTGGTATGATGGTTAAGTTGCTGGACTCCCACATGGCTGACCATGGATAGTGAAACGGAGGGGAAGGGACTGTGCTGTGACCACACTCCACTGAGGGGTACTTTCTCCTTCTCCCTCTCTCTCTCTCTGGTGAGTGCACACAAGTCCTGCCAATTAAAAAAAAGTTGGGCCCAGCAGATGACATAGCAGTTACATCACTGGACTCCCACATGGCTGACTGAGGTTCGAGTCCCAGACCTGGTGGCTTGAAAACTATGCCAGGTGTGTGTGTGCGTGCGTGCCCAAGATCCCAGGAGGAGAATGGAAGAGAAGGGATTACGCCGTGGGCATCCTCCTGGGGGGTGTGATTTCTCACTTGCCCTCTCATTGTCTCTGTCTCTCTCTCTCTCCCTGGCGAGTGCACACATCCTAAGAGAAAAACCTCTGGGAAAAAAAAGTTACCAGGAAAAAATTTTGGAAACCAAATAATACTTTGCTAGTTTGTGAAGTTTAAGAAGTCTAGAGTAGTTTGGAACAGAGCTCTCGAGTCAAATGTCTCAAACATTTTACCTGGGAAATATTCAGGATGAGCCAGGCAGATTAAACAAAATTTAATCTGGTTTGGGACCAGCAGTTAGTGTCATGGCTATGTTGCTGGACTCCCATTGTAGTCGACCGCGGTTCGAGTCCCTGACCCGGTGGCTTAAACTCATGTCAGGCGTGTGTGCATGTGTGCCCAAGATCCCGAGAGGAGAATGGAGAAAGGATTGCGGCGTGGCCATCCCCCCTGGTGGGGGGTGATTTCTCACTTTCTGTCTGTCTCTCTCTGTCTTCCTGGCGAGTGCACATGCCCTATAGCAAAAACCTCTCCAAAAAAAAAAAAATAATAATAATAAAAAAATTTAATCTGGTTTGAGCTGAACTTATTTAAGCTATTGTGTACCTGGGGATTTTCTTTACTTTCAGAGAAAGTAGGAATCAGCGAATCAGTACTGGCACAAAACCGGAGAGCTGAGAAGCCTAAGGGCAGACACAGATCACATGCTAGGGAAGAAAGAAAACACGTGGTGGGAGGCGGGGAAGATCGTCAGGGGGCAGGCTGCCAGCTCACGGGACCACCCAGTCACAAGCCAGGTTTCTTTGAAAGATGCAGGATCTGCAAGTGTCAGTGGAACAGCTCGGTTCCAGATTCTGATGCTAGTTCTTAGGTAGGACAGAGAAGCCACAGGCTCCGCTTTGAGAAATCACAAGACTGCTCCCTCACAGCAGGGAGAGCTACAGGCAGGGCTGTCTGGGCCTTAGTAGGGGCACCTCAAAAGAAGACAAAACTGGACAGCACTTGGTGTTGTATGGACGCTTGCAACACAAGGTCTGTTCTTCAAAAATCACTGTCAAGGGGCCAGAGGTGGTATGATGGTTAAGTTGCTGGACTCCCACATGGCTGACCATGGTTTGAGTCCCAGGCCTGGTGGCTTACTTTTGCACTTTCCTTCTTTCTTTCTGTTTCTGGCAAGCATATGTACCCTATACCAAATTAAAAAATAATCATAATAAATTTTTAAAAATCACTGTCAAGAAAATGAGATTTGTGGGAACCAGCAGTTAGCGTAATGGCTATGTCACTGGACTCCCACATAGTCGACCGCGGTTCATGTCCCGGACCTGGTGGCTTAAAACTCACGCCCTGCCCAAGATCCCGAGAGGAGAATGGAGGAGAAGGGATTGCGGCGTGACCATCCCTCCTGGGGGGTGATTTCTCGCTTTCTGTCTCTATGTCTCTCTCTGTCTGGCGAGCGCACGCGCTCTATAGTGAAAAAACTTCTCCAAAAAAAAAGAAAATGAGATTTGTAATCTTTGAAGCTGTAAGAGAATTTGGCAAACTTCTTACTTTTTACATGCTTTTGTGAGAGACCCATAGTGAAAAATACATTTTGCTATGGAGTATGAACAAAAATTTTTTAATATGTAAATGTTTATGGGAAAATGTAAAAAAAAGAAAAAGAAAAAGAAAAATACATCTTATGTCACAACCAGAACACTTGTAAGTACACAATGTAAATACATGAAACAGATGTTATGCAACATAATACTGGAACTATAAATGATATATTCTGATATTTCCTATCCTACTGCATTTAAACATTTTAGTTGCAACCCACTAAATTGATTTCATAACCCAGTAACAGGGCACAACCTGGTTTGCAAAACAGTTAAACCAGTCTCCTCAGTTTTAGACCAGCTCAAATACATGGAGTGACTAGCTAATGATTAAAGTCATTCAGTGACAGAGTCCAAGCTAAAACTTTAATCTCAAAAGTCTAGCCAATTAGTGCTGTCACTTAGAACTGTCTCGTCTATGTTACAAACACCTTACACAAAAAAATTACAAGTGAGACAGACTTGAAGAACAGTGACTCCATTTTTTTTTAAGCCACAGAACTCTTTCCTTAACCCTTAGAAGCAACCCTAAAATATTTTTTAAATATTAAAGAAGAGGGACCAGTAGATGGTGTAATGGTTACATCGCTGGACTCCTATGTAGTCGACAGAGGTTTGAGCCCCGAACCCAGTGGCTTAAAACTCACCCTGGGCACGTGTGTGTGCATGCCCAAAATCCTGAGTTGAAAATGAAGTAAAAGGGATTGTGGAGTGGCCATCACTTTCTAACTTTTGTCTCTCTGGTACACACATGCATCCTGTAGCAAAAATCTCTTTTAAAAAATATATACGGGGACCAGCAGATGGCATAATGGCTATGTCGCTGGACTCCCATGTAGTCGCCTGCGGTTCGTGTCCTGGACCCGGTGGCTTAAACTCACGCCAGGTGAGTGTGCGTGCGTGCCCAAGATCCTGAGAGGAGAATGGAGGAAAAGGGACTGTGGCATGGCCATCCCCTCTTGAGGGTGATTTCTCACTTTCTGTCTCTCTGTCTCTCTCTGTCTTTCTGGCGAGAGCACATGCCCTATAGCAAAAACCTCTCAAAAAAATAAATGTATATACACGTGTATATACATACATATACATACACATAAAAGAGGACAGCAGGCTCTGAACCTGGGCACCCTGTTGAACCTCTTTCAAAGTTTTAGAACCAGGGTTCAATCCACGGATTTGGGACCAAGAATAACCTGTAAAACCACTTGACAGGTAAAAATGAAGTTTCCTACATGCAGATTTGGAGAGATGTCTGTGCAACTCTCCCACGCTCCTGAGCTGGAAAGGAAGGATAGGCGAAAGGGGAAGTCCTAGAGGCAAAAAGGATAAAGGTGTCTAATCTGTCCTGTGACCTGCGGGAACTCCAAGTAGCGGGGCGGGCACTCGGCTATGCCTAGACTTACCCCGCCAAGGACACCGCCCTCACCCTTCGGAATACTGCCCGGGCCTACTTCGGTGAAAGTTCTCGTCAATAGCTGACACTACAATCGGATGTCTCCAAGGGCCAGGAAACCCTCGCAGCCTTTAAATATGGGGAAACCGAGGCCCGGGTCTGCCAAAGGCTTAGCCTGCCCGAATGAGAACGCAACTCGCAAGAATGCCTGAGCGCAGCCTAGGACCCCAGGGTCCCTCCCGCTGACCTTGTTTAAGAACCCTCTTCCTGGCCTCCTTGTCGGTCACCAGGGGTGCGGGTGGCCGCTTGACGTCCTCTTTGAAGGGGTTCGTGGAGCTGCCAGCGAACAGCCCCTGGTAAACTCTGCTAAGCACCAGCAGCAGCAGCGCCAGCAGCAGTGCCACGGAGAGCCACATCGCGCCGGCTGGGGTAGGTGAGTGGCCGGCTCCCGCTGCGCTCAGCCTCCAGCATCGTGGCTCCGCCCACCCGCTCGGCCCTCCCAGGCTCCTGGACATAGTGGCTTGAAGCTCATGCTGTACAAGTGTGTGTGTGTGCCCAGAATCCTGAGAGGAGAATGGAGGAGAAGGGATTGTGGTGTG